AACCTCCACCTGGGAAATGTGCAAAGATCCCACAAGTCCTGCTGTCAGCAGGCACTTGTTACTCGGGACCTGTCATGTGACACGGGTCAGCAGCACTTGAACTATTGACTGCAAAACCACCTCACCATGTGCTGCAAGTAATGAGAAGCAATCATCTGTCCTGCGCAACAATGAATGGAGACCATTGACAATCCCATGACAATCCTAAAACAATAAGTGAAGGATCAGCGCAGAAATCATGCAACACGGCTCAGCACAAATCGATAGCAAGTGTTGGCACGACAACCATTTTAATACAGCGAATATCATTGGCCCGTGAACAGTTCCCAGGGCTGTAGCCAGATCGGAAGACCTACCCCTCACTGACAAAGGTCCAGAATTTGTCCCATACATAAGCTCATTTGTCCTATTTATACTGCTATGCCATCATAAATAGTGAAAATAACCTCACAAAGAAGGCTTTCAAGCCGAATGCTCTATTGGCTGTCGCAAAATCAGTTTTGGCCAATGCTAACAAATATTTTAATTTTATAATCTGATGTAAGAGCAGTCTTCTTTCACTACAGTATTTTTTTTTAAATAGAGAAAATATATATACTTTATTTTTTAACATAAGTAACTTAAATTCTATATCTTGGACCTTATTTTTGAAACAAAAATGCCCAATAAACAGGTGTAAAGCACCAAAAGTGGCCCATATTAAATTAATTTGAATAGATTTTGACTATTGTTGTTATCCATGAATTTTCAATGTACATTATTTTTTGTTACAAAAGAAGCTAGAAAAACCATGAGATCTACATTATATTATTATTATTATGTTTAATTTTTTTTTCATTGAAATGGTCAAATTCTGACTGGGGACAGTCAAATGTGCTGGCCAGCTTGTTATTATTTGTCTAATAAATGACAATAAGCTATAGTTTTCAATGTAAAACTTTAACACATTCCTGTTTTTTTTTTTCTAAAGATATATGACGTAATATGTTTGTATTTTAAAATAAAGTATTTTTCATATTTCTTTATTGTAAATCTTTAGGGAATATTTTTGGTACATCAACAAGTGTGATAATGATTATTATCCGACTAGCTAATCCAGCAAAAAAAAAATGCTTAAAATGTAAGTAAACGCAGTTTTTAAATCTGATAATTAAATAGAAAATGAGGCGTATAACTGCAAAAAGGTTCACTTTTTGTGAAAAAGAACCACCTTTTCACCAGGCTGGCTGCAGGCCTGGTTCCTGCATGTTGTCAAGCTATTTCAGAACTGTAACTAGTTCTGTCATAATGTTAGCACATTTTTCATAACATTTCTTTATCAATATGTGGACCCTTTTGGATTTCCAGAAGCAATGACAATTAAAAATCTAAAACAGGAAACACGTTAGGACCATTGTTATTGTTTACATCCCTCAAAATGATCAGCTGAAGGGGCGCGCGCATCCGCCAAACGAAAACCATGGCAACCAAAACGCGTCTATTAAAGTTTAAAACCCACAAAACTCAAAATATGAAAGAGATAAATACCTTCCGTCCCTGGAGCTACTATCCTCCAATTCTCTTTAAAATAAGGGACGCTTTTCACTATTCAGTCGTAGATCTGAGCAGAAATTATGCCACACGGGGCAGCACAAATTGACACCAAGTGTTGGCACGACAAGAGGGGCGCGCTTTTGTTTGTTTACAGAACAGCTGGAGGGGCGCGCGCATCCGCTAAACGGCAACCATGGTAACCCAGACGCGCCTATAAAAGTTTAAAACCCCCAAAACTCAGAATACGAGAACAATATAAATACTATCCAAACCTGCGGAGCTGTTACTATCAACACTGTCTGTAAAATAAGGCACGCTTTCACCAACCATTCGTAGATCTAAGACAATGTGAGCCACTTTTCGAGGAGCATCTAACAGTTTTAAACCGCAAAACTCAAGATATGAAATGATAAATACCTTCCAGCCCGCGGAGCTGTTACTATCCCCCTTGTCTTTAAAATACGGGACGCTTTTCACCATCCAGTCGTATATCTGAGACAAGGTGAGCCGCTTTTCTGGGGAGCTCTCGATGGCTTTGGTGATCAGGTCCGCGTACGACATATTTCCCCAGGCGTTGCGCCGAGACGAGCTGCTTTTGCGTTGCGCGGCTGCTGCGGCTGCGGCGGCGGCGGCCACCGGAGAGGACAGCACGGGCACCTGTTGCTGCTGACTCGGGATCTGCTGCTGGTGGATGCAGTTCTCCTGGCACTGGAACTCGCTGCAGAGCATGAGAGGCTTCTGGTCCGGGTAGTCCTCATTCTCCTCTAGCAGACTGAGGTTGTTGATGAAGTCCGCGGTGCTGGAAGGCTCCTGTTTGACGGACGGAGCCGGGGATGAAGTGTTGGAGTCCGCGGCGGCGGGGTTTGGGAACTCGGGTCGCGGCAGCGGCCAAGTGCAGGAGCGGGGCCGGGACAGCGGCTCGAAGTCCGGGTCGATCTCCACCATCTGGTTTTGGGCTGCGTCAGCCATGGTACCAGCAATACTGTCTGCCTCTTAAAATGTCACATATGATTGTCAAGCGAAAATATGAGGTGAAACGCGAAACTGTAAACACAAGCGAACTGCGGATACTTAGTTAAACTGACTTGAGTTACATTGGGAACGATTTCGAAGTCGCAGCGTGCGTCAGACTGGTGTTGTTGTGAAGTTTTGTAATGTCCAGTCCTGTATTATGTGTGTGGGGGGGAGAGAGAGTCCTGTTGCTGTCGCTTCTTGTTGAATGTCTGTGTACTAAAAACTCCAAGTGCGCTTACTGGAACTCACTATCATATGTCAGCTGACACCGCCCCCGTGTATGATTGACAGGCGTGTACAGCCAATCACGGGCGCCCGTTTGAAAGCGAAACGAGCAATATTTTTGTTCTTTCAGAACTAGTAAACAAACTTTCACGGAGTTTGGGAGTTATCAAAACACTCGCGTTTCTGACCGCGTGGCTTTCTGGCTGTATGTTGGTTATGTATAACATAATCGCAGCTCATTTTTGTGTTTGTTTGAATATTTTGGAACAGAAAAGTAAGCCACATCAAAGAAAGAAGAGCAAAACAGAAACAGCCCCGAAAATAAATTTCCAACAAAGGTGTTTTTGTTAAACACTGCGGTTTAACGAATAAAGAGTTCTGATTGGGTATTAATGCAGAGATTGTTAGTTATATAACATGGTAATTACAAACCACCATCTTGGAAACAGCTATGCTTCAGTTTCTAACTTTAACTTAACTTTAATTTACCTTTGACCTGTGCATAAGGTGAGCCAAAAATATGTAAAATGTTTACATTTAATGTTAAATAAATGAATTTTATATACATAATGTTGTGTAATAAAAGAAACAAAAACTATGCATAAAAGTACAGTTGAAGTCAGAATTATTAGCCCTTTTTATTTTTATTTTTTTATATATATATTTCTCAAATGATGTTTAACATAGCACGGAATTTTTTACAGTATGTCTGATAAAAAAAGTTTCTTCTGGAGAAAGTCTTATTTGTTTTATTTTGGCTAGAATAAAAGCAGTTTTTAATTTTTTAAAAGCCATTTTAAGGTCAAAATCATTAGCCCCTTTAAGTTTTTTTTTTTTCGCCATTGTCTACAGAACAAACTTGCCTAATTACCCAAACCTGCCTAGTTAACCTAATTAATGTAGTTAAGACTTTAAATGTCACATTAAGCTGTATAGAAGTGTCTTGAAAAAAATATAGTAAAATATGTGCTGTCGTCATGGCAAAGATAAAATAAATCAGTTATTAGAGATGAGTTATTAAAACTATTATGTTAAGAAATGTGTTGAAAAAAATCTCTGTTAAACAGAAATGGGGGGGGGGGGATAAACAGGGGGCTAATAATGCTGACTTTAACTCTATATCAAATTGTATTCTACTTTATAATTTATATATTTTCATAAAAAACAAATCTGAAATGGAAATTAAAACTAATTCGATATTAGAGATATTTTGTAAAAGGTTCCAACATAGTTTCTGCAACATTTCCACACACACAAAAAATCATTTTTGGTTCCCCAAAAAACTTTCAGTGGAAAGTTTGAGCATTTTAATAATCAAAATAAGCTGTTTAAATAAATAAATAAATAAAGCCCTTTTAGAGTACAAATGCTTTGTGTTAAACGTTCTTTATCAAACTATTGATGCCAATAAAGCGCCTTATGTTTTTTTAAAAGTTTTTAACAAAACAAAGTTTGAAAAAAGATCTAAATGAACGTTTTGGTTATCTAATGTTACATTAATTCATGCCTCCGTTATTATTTTTCATCAACACAGGCTTAATATATTGTTTTCAATCAAATTAACTATTATATATATATTTTAATTCAATTATATATATTATTTTCAAATAAATATATACATCACAAAAACAAAAACGGAGTTACTTGGCAGAAAAGAAAATTTCATAATTTTTTTAAAGTTTATTTATGAATAAATTTGAAAAACAAATCCAAATGCACGTTATATCCATATTATTAATCCATGCTTTGGATATTAGTCCTATTTTTCATCAATACAAGCTTCAATATATTATTATTATTCAATTTTAAATTGTGTAAAATTGTCAAATGGACTTTTATTCTCATATCACCATCTAAACATCATATGGGGCTGCTTAAAAAACAGAAAATACAGCATTTGTTTGCAGTTTGTGTGTTAGATAACAGGCATAATATTCAATGCTATAACCCCACCTAGTGGTTGAAGTACCACAGTGTCTTTAGCATTTGTTATGCTCAAATATCGCGTCTAGTGATGACCTTATCGCAATCTTAAAGTTGAGTCAACAGCTTCTGCAGGATATGACAGCAACACGATCTCTTATTTCCAGGGCACGTGGTTCCAGGAAGACCCTCATACCGAGCAAAACTCACCCTGCCCGGTGTATGAGGCAGGTACTGACACACAGACACACACCTGTGGCGGTGCTCGAGGAAGTGTGTGAAGGTAGTTTAAACCAGCTCTGCATTTGCGTCAGCCGTAAGAACATATTTCGAGAGTACACTTTGTTCCGGGGCTTTTAACATTACTGGATACAGTGTGAAGAACAGAAGAAGTGTCCGGGAGCAGGACAGGGCGGGTGAGTTTGAAATTACTCGAACGTCAGATTGAGTTTAGTGTTGCTGAGACATTCTGATCGTATTATGTTGTCAGTGTTGGCACATGGGGATATCGGTTAGTGCTAGTGGCTCAGTGGGACTGTTAACAGCTCAGGGGGGATTCCCTCTAAATCTGGATTTAAGGAGATTTAGAGCATGCTATTCATAGAGAGCTCTTAGGTTTGATATAAATATACTCCAGTCCACTTACATGGGCACTGAACTTATCTAATGTGCTGTTGTGACGCGTAAGAGTCTAGCCTGATAGTATTTTTATCACAATACATCTCTTTAAATTTGTTTATCTTACGCACAGCTATATAGAAGCCCATTCCCGACTCTGAATAAAAAATAAAAAAAAAGTTTATTGCAACCTTTTATGTCACTACTGCGTGATACAAACTCACAATTCTCACATTTTTTTTTCTTAGAATTATGCATACATGAACTTGCGAGTTACTAGGAGATATAGACTCATAATTCCGAGTTATTAAGTCAAAATTATGAGAAACAAATAAAAAATTCAGAGTTATAGTCTCAAATCCAAATTAAAAAGTCAAAATTATGCGGTTGCGCTCTCTTAGAATTCTGACTTATCATGCAGTTGCAACTTTTTATCTCCAAATTCTGACTTAACTCACAATTGCAACTTTATATTTCAGATTTGAGTGATATTACATCAGAAAATCATAATTACGACTTTACATCTCAGAATTCTCACTATATAACTCTGGATTGCAACTTCAACTCTCAGAATTTCGAATTTATATCTCAGAATTGAGACTTTGTTTCTTAGAATTGAGACTTAAGCTCTCAAAATTAAGACTTTATTTCGGTTTTGAGATTTTATTTCTCAAAATTGAGACTTTATTTCTTAGAATTGATACTATTTCTCAAAATTTTGACTTTATTTCTCAGAATTGAGACTTTATTTCTTAGAATTGAGACTTTATATTTCAGAATTGAGACTTTATTTCTTAGAATTGAGACGTTATATTTTAGAATTGAGACTTTATTTCTAAGAACCGAGACTTTATATTTCAGAATTGAGACTTTATTTCTTAGAATTGAGACCTTATTTCTTAGAATTGAGACTATTTTTCAGAAATTCGACTATTTCTCAAAATTGAGACTTTATTTCTCAGAATTTAGTCTATTTCTAAGAATTGAGACAGAAAGGCTACTCGCAATAGCCTTTTCAATTTTTTTTATTCAGAGGTGGGAACAAGCTTCCAAACAAAGCTGTAAACAAACAAAGTCTGGTTCTCTCAAGGTTTTTTTTCTTCACTCCTATCAGGTGAAGTTTTTTTTCCCTCTCCGCTGGCGCCACTGGCTCGCATGGTTCAGGATTGGTAGAGCTACGCATCGATGAATTTGCTCTTCAGTGTTTGAACTCTCAGTAATGATTTTAAATCACACTGAACTGAGCTAAACTGAACTGAACTTAAACACTAAAAACTGAACTACACTGTTCCAGTTACTATGACCATTTATGTGAAGCTGCTTTGACACAATCGACATTGTAAAAGCACTATACAAATAAAGCTGAATTGAATTGTATTATTTCTAAATAAATAACATTTTACCAAAATCAATTATAATTGTATTTTAATAACTTTTTAACTACAAATACAAACCCAATACCACGGTTACACTTTAGTGCAGCAAAACCATGGGTAATTTACTGTTTTTGTGGTTTATCAACTATATATTGACTGTAAAAATGCTGGGTTCCACGCAATTGATTTGTGTAGGGACAACATGTAGGAATAAAGATAACTAATTTTTACAAATTTAAGTGGATTGAACATAAAACAACTAAGTTGTCACAATAAAATGTTTTCATGTAAGATTGTCATTTTGCAAATGTTACGATGGCAGTATTATGTCATTTTCTTTAAAAAATAAAGCTGTCTGTCTGTCCATCTATCTATCAGTCGGGCTAAAATTGTGAAAGACTGGTTCCGGGAGCATGTAACACAATTTTTACATATAGATTAGCCACCAGAGAGAGACCCTAACCCTACTGAAAATCTTTTAGATGTGTTGGGGAAGAGACTATCTATCTGTTTGTTTGTCTGTCTGTCTGTCTGTCTGTCTATCTATCTATGTGCTCTTAAAAAGTCTTGATGTAATGTACTGGTTTTTGTCTCATCCAGCTTCTTTTACTTTCTGTCTTATGTGTGAATAACTGGTGTGTTTACTGGAAAAAAACAGATTGTCGCTGACCTTCTCTGATAGTCACCTTGACCGATTAAACAGTGATTCAGTTGTGACTTTGGCATTGGTGTTGATTAAACATTAAACATTGGTGCTGATTAAACATCTTTCATTGTTGAATGTAATCTGTGTTTTAAATAACCAGTTTGTGAAGACACTCGCCACTTATTAAATGCCACTTAACTGCATGATTCTGACATTCCGGGTGTTTACACTTGCTCGACATGACTGCAGTGAACTATTTTAGAGCAGTTCATTAGAATAAGTGTGAACAGAGAAGAGATAGCTCTTGTCCATTTTCAATGAACCTTACACTTTTATCTACTTTATTACCCACTTTTTGTGCCAAATTTACAAGAACAATCCAGAATATCACTGAAAACGACACTTATTAAAGTAACATTTATGTTTGGTTGGTTTAAATCAATTCGAGTTGCACCGTTTTATTGACCTTATTCTCTGCAGACTGGCGGGAGCTGCCATTTGAATCTTTTTGGCACGAGACTTCCGGTCTCATTCACTTCCATTCATTTTTAGACATTAAAAACTGCTCGTTTCGCTGTTTGATGTTGCAAACTGATATTTCCTTGTTATATTATTCTACTTGGTCTGTATAGTCATGCAAACATTTGTTTGTAGAGCAAGTAGTTAGACCGTTTTTTGCCTTTTATTATTTCTTGTCATTTCTCCAATAGGCGATTGAAACGGAACTTCTAAGACAATCGCGAAAACGGGCGCACTTCCGCATTTTAGAATAAGGTCAATAAGCTCTTCACACATTCTCATTTGTTTAAGTTGTTTATGCAGGCTGTATGCTTTATTAGGTACACCTTACAAGTATCGGCTTTGAACCCCATTTTGCCTTCAGAATTGCCTTAACCACTCATGTCATAGATTCAATAAGGCACTGGAAATATTCCTCAGAGATTTTGGTCCATATTGACATGATAGCATCACGCATTTGTCGGCTGCACATACATGATACGAATCTCTCGTTCCACCACATGCCAAAAGTGCTCTATTGGATTGAGCTCTGGTGACTGTGGAGGCCATTTGAGTACAGTGAACTCATTGTCATGTTCTAGAAACCAGTCTGAGATGATTCGTGCTTTATGACATGGTGCGTTATCTTGCTGGAAGTAGTCATCAGAAGATGGAGACACTGTGCTCATGATGGGATGGACATGGTCAGCAACAATACTCAGGTAGGCTGTGGCGTTGACAGATGCTCAGTTGGTACTAATAGGCCTAAAATATGTCAAGAAAATATCCCCCACACCATTACACCACCACCAGCCTGAACCGTTACTACAAGGCAGGATGGATCCATGCTTTCATGTTGTTGATGCCAAATTCTGACCCGACCATCCCAATGTTGCAGCAGAAATCAAGACTCATCAGAGCAGGCAACGTTTCTCCAATCTTTTATTGTCCAGTTTTGGTGAGTCTGTGTGAATTGTAGCCTCAATTTCCTGTTCTTAGCTGACAGGAGCGGCATCCGGTGTGGTCTTCTGCTGCTGTAGCCCATCCGCCTCAAGGTTGGCCGTGTTGTGTGTTCAGAGATGCTCTTCTGCAGACCTCTTTTGTAACGAGTGCTTATTTGAGTTACTGTTGCCTTTCTATCAGCTGGAACCAGTCTGGCCATTCTCCTCTGACCTCTGGCATCAACAAGGCATCTGCGCCCACTGGTCTGAACCTCCTTTTTCAGACCATTCTCTGTGAATATAAATGTTTGTGCATGAAAATCCCAGTAGATCAGCAGTTTCTGAAATACTCAGAGCAGCCCATCTGGCATCAACAACCAACGTTCAAAGTCACTTAAATCCCCTTTCTTCCCCATTCTGATGCTCGGTTTGAACTGCAGCAGATCGTCTTGACCATGTCTGAATGCATTGAGTTGCTGCCATGTGATTGGCTGATTTGTTAACAAGCAATTGGACAGGTGTACCTAATAAAGTGGACGGTGGGTGTATATAGAATTAAGTCCATAACATAAAAGAAAAAGTGCAGGTTTATTACCAGGCATTTGCACTATAATTTACAAAACCAACCCAGATCATGTTAAAGAACTATTAAAAATATCATTTTTTTTACTTGTTTTATACTGTAGGTGTATACTATTTTGTATTAAATGAGCAATGATTCTAAGCAAAGCCTTCTCCTGCATCTATTACAGGAAGTGACATCATATAGCAGAAGCGCAGCATGGCTCCACATCCTGTCACCCAGGCCGTCATTGACCTGTCAGCTGGAGCATGTGGTAACAGCCTTCATTCATCACTTCCTGTGTCTACATTAACTCCTGTAATACAGCCATGAAGATGGGAAATTTTGTAATAATCTGATTTGCTCATTATTTGTAACTGCTGTTTGACAAAAAAAGTCAATTTTGGTTTATTTTTTGATGACAAAGAATGAAAATAAAAGCGTAAAGGTTAAAGAATATCCTAATGAATTCCTTTGAAACCTTCATTCATTTTCTTTTCGGTTTAGTCCCTTTATTAATCTGGGGTCGCCACAGCAGAATGAACCACCAACTTATCCAACATATGTGTTACACAGCGGATGCCCTTCTACCCATCACTGGGAAACATCCATACATACTCATTCACACACAAACACCACGGCCAATTTAGCTTACCCAATTCTCCTATAGCACATGTCTTGGGTAATGTGGGGGAGCACCCGCAGGAATCCCTCGCCAACATGGGGAGAACATGCAAACTCCACACAGAAATGCCAACTGACCCAGCTGTGGCTTTAACCAGCAACCTTCTTGCTGTGAGGCGATTGTGCTACCCACTGCACCACCGTGCTGCCCCGATTTGAAACAGTCCACAATAATCATGTGAACTAAGGACACAAAACTGACTTACGACTCATTTTGCAGCAGAAATTATGAGAGAATTCTCAAACGAATACAAAATCGGCAAGAGTGTAAGCAGCTACTGAATTTTAGGAGACAAAAAAGTTTATTTAAAAGTTCATAAAAAGTAAAGCACATGTATTTGTTAGGATTTAATTGTTACATTTAAAATCAACACAGGCTCACTTCGAAAACGTAGTCCTGCATTCGTTTCTGGAGATTGCGAATTATGTAACCAGAAGTACCTATGGCTGCATTTCATTTTTTTTTAACGAATGCTACCGGGCGGAATGACGCCGTTCCTTTTCGCGCTTACCAGCTGACCGCTTACCTCCGTATGAACGGCTTTCCGGCTGTAACCAGTTTGTCCCGTTAGCTCGCCATTTACGTCAGCGGACTTGAGGAGTTGACCACGACGACAGGGTTCGAGTCTGGTGAAGATCAGTTCCAGAAAGCAGGTAAGACAAAAACAATCCAAAAAATACAATAAACAAGTAAATAATAGGGTGAGAATGTGGTAAAGAGAATGTGCGTTAGCGCTTGACTGGGGGAGTGTCTGAAGTTGGGGCTGACGTGATCATCATAGCAGTGTCAGCCAATGAAATTAGTCATCAATTGGCTACTGTCTGAACTGGGTATTTGCATTGAAAAGGTGAGAATTTCCCAACTTCATCTAGTAACGCCACTGAAGTGGCGCAGACGGATTCACAATGCAGTTTGTCAACGCCTGACGTCAGCCATTCAAAGTGAATGGGAATAGGGCGTTAGGACTACGTTTTCAGAATGAGCCTATGTTGCGATCCAGGCCCCGTTTACACTAGTGCGTTTTAGTTTCAAAACGCCGTTTTAGATCAAAAACGATCCGCGTCCACACTTGCGTTTCACCTAGCGTTTCTGAACATATCTCCGTCCACACTACGCCACCAAAAATGTATATCACATGACCATTCGCACACTCTGGGCATGCGCGTTCTAGTATAAACAGGAAGCATGTGTCTCGCTCGGCATTTGGTTATTGTTAGTCAACAAACGCCGGATGAACAATGAATGCGATGGCAAAGAAAGCAGGAGAGGTATTTTTGTGGACAGACGACGAGGTCGAGTCGTTACTAAACGTAACAAATGAATAACTGCACAATGGTGCCTAAAACAGACAATAGTGCAAACAACGCTCCCATTTCTGTGTCCATGTTGTTGTTTACAGTGAAGGCTGGTCAGCTGTCTTCCGCTAGCGTTAAAGCCATGTGTTATAGTCATGTGATAGGGGCTTGAGGAATAAGGGAAGGATACGCAATGACACAAAAGCCCCAATCAGGTAGGAAATCTCAGCAGCCCCGCCTCCGTTTTTTTAAATGTCTCTGTTTTTCCCCATCCACACTGAGACAGAGCAGCAGCATTTCAGCATGAGAACAGCCTCTCCAATGTTTTCAAAACGCTCCGTTTTCGGCGCTCGAAAACTCCGGCGAAGTGTGGATGGATGGCGTAGCAAAACTTATGCGTTTTCAAACTAAAACGCATTAGTGTAAACGGGGCCCCAAACTGCTATCTTGTCTATTTTACCATTTTCAGTCATTTCTCCTACCACTGCTATGCTGATGATACCCAGCTATACCTCTCTTTTCATCCTGATGATCCCTCGGTTCCAGCTCGCATCTCAGCCTGCCTGTTGGACATTTCACACTGGATGAAAGATCATCATCTTCAGCTGAACCTCGCAAAAACGGAAATGCTTGTAGTTTCTGCCAACTCGACTATACACCATAACTTTTCAATCCAGATGGGTGGGGCAACCATTACTGCATCCAAAATGGTGAAAAGCCTTGGAGTAACGATTGATGACCAACTAAACTTCTCTGACCACATTTCTAGAACTGCTCGATCGTGCAGATTCGCAGTCTATAACATCAGAAAGATCCGACCCTTCTTATCTGAACATGCAACTCAACTCCTTGTTCAAGCTCTTGTTCTCTCCAAACTGGATTACTGCAACTCTCTACTAGCTGGGCTTCCAGCTAACTCTATCAAGCCTCTTCAACTGCTCCAGAATGCAGCAGCACGAGTGGTCTTCAATGAACCTAAACAAGCACATGTCACTCCGCTGCTAGTCCGTTTGCACTGGCTGCCAGTTGCTGCTCGCATCAAATTCAAAGCTCTGATGTTGGCCTACAAAGTGACTTCTGGCCTTGCTCCTTCTTATCTGCTCTCACTTCTGCAGATGTATGTGCCCTCCAGAAACTTGCGTTCTGTGAATGAACGTCGCCTCGTGGTTCCATCCCAAAGAGGGAAGAAATCACTTTCGCTCACGCTCACGCTCAATCTGCCCAGTTGGTGGAATGAACTCCCTAACTGCATCAGAACAGCAGTCACTCGCTGTCTTCAAGAAACAACTAAAAACTCAACTATTTAGTCTCCACTACACTTCCTAATCTGCAATTGCCTCTCTGAATATCACACTAACTGTACCAAAAAAAATAAAAAATAAAAAAAATACTAATACTACTAATACTTCCCTTCTTAGACTTTACAGACCTGAAACTTGCCTATAGCACTTAATCATTGTTGATCTTGGTTGTGTAAATTGTTCCTTGTCCTCATTTGTAAGTCGCTTTGGATAAAAGCGTCTGCTAAATGACTAAATGTAAATGTAAATGTAAATTTTCCACTTGTGTGATTTGCAGCCATTTTGCATGCTAACGAATGAAACTGTTATATTTTATCATTAGGTGGGACTGCATGTGTGATCAGCGGACAGCCGTTCGACACGGCCAAGGTGAAGATGCAGACGTTCCCCGGCCTGTACAGAGGCTTCGTCCACTGCTTCGTCTCGGTGTACAAACAGGTTGGCCTGCGTGGGCTTTATCAGGGCACCACACCCGCCCTCATAGCCAACATCGCGGAGAACGCAGTGCTCTTCATGAGCTACGGCTTCTGCCAGAATGTGGTGCGCTTTCTTTCAGGACTGGACCGAAACACTGAACTCAGGTAATGTGCAGTCACTGTAGCAATCTGACACGCTAAAGACAATATATCGCTTATTTGTAGAGGGATGGTACAAACATATATTTAACATTGAACTTTGCGCACCTAAATTATGATAATGCAGGGCCGGTGTGGGACTCCTTTCCAGCCTTGGAGTTTCAAGCTTTAGACCGGGCCACCTCAGTTCACGACTGACTATATTAAAATAACGTAAATTCGAATTCAGTTTCTAATGAAACGATCACATATTTTTCAAGAAAACAGCTGCTTTATAAGTTGAAACGTTCAACAACCCAAACAGTATTAAATTTCTTAACAATAAAAATGAAAAAATAAATAAATTTAATCACATAGGTAAGGATCGAACTCGGGTTCTGCAGTGTGGTAACGCAACGTGCTGACCACTGGACCACAAAAAACTTGTCTATTGACGACTTAATCTTTTTCTCCCCTTTCTAGATTTCTGATCAATTTATGTCAGAATTATTGTTACGTGTTTTATGATGTTAAAGTGGGATGCTGTAACATTTAAGTGAGACAGGTGTAATGTGTGCGACAGATCAATAATGAGGCAAGGTTCAGTTACTCTTATTTAAAGCTTTTTACTCAATAATTGAATTGAAACATGTAACAATAATAAATGGGGGAGAAAAAAGGAAATAAACATTTATAATTATTATCTTTAAACAAGAACAACGAGTGTAAGCCGAATCAAAGAAATTAACAAAACAAAACAATCCTTAAATCTAATGTCTAAACTAGGCGTCAAAAACACAAATAAAAACCGAGATCTTCAGTGTATACGACACCGGAACTAAACTAATTAAACTACAAAACTCAAAAAGACACGTGTGGCAAAACACTCAAACTAATCTAACAAAAAATCTATCTAAACTAAAACGAAACAAACCGGATAAGTCCGTTAAATCTTAGTTTAGAAATCACACAACCATCATCATATTATGTTACTTAAAGCCAACGAAGTTCAACAAGCAAACTCGAATTATCACAGTACTGAGAGATCACAAAATAGACGAACCATTTGCACAAACAAATTGCGTGGAGCACAAAGGGTACGCCGAGGCAGGGCGCACCCCACACACTATTCTAACAGGGCTTTAAATCCTTGCGGCTCGACCTGGGATTGGTGGAACCCGGAGAGTGTCATAATGATGATGGACAGAATAATAAACCAATAAGAAACCTAGGGTTGAGCAAATGGAGAGGAGGGTGAAAAAAACAGAAAGAAAACATAAATCATAACATTTATTAATGTAGTAAATCATCTGATTTTCATTGAGCAGGTGTAATATTCATTAATATTAATTATTCGAATTCTTATATTAACTAAGGTGCCGCTGTTTGGGGTCGAATAATAGTTACATCATCATTAACCTGCAGGCTGCATGTTGCTCACGGGGCTGCGAGAAAATAAATAAAAAGAGTGAGACTATGGTCAAATAAATGAAAAAATGAATAAAAGTGTGACTGCTAAGAGTGCAAGCAGCTAGGGACAACGGCCCTCGCGGCCAAAAAACGGACCGGCCCACCGGGAATTCTCCTGGTCCCCCCGATTAGCCAATCCGGGCCTGTGATAATGACATAAAAATCATTAAAGTCCACATGAACGGGAAGCTGCGACTATTTTTTTTTTTTTCATATTGTGACGCAGTTCCTAAAAAAACAGAATATTAAATGAGAAAACAGTGGGTGTGGCTTGTTTTTTTCTACTGCGAGCTGATTGGATGTAGTAAAGTATTGTATTGCTATGTGTTAATAGGATCTAAAGTGATTTTGATATTATTATTATTATTATGTGTTAAATCACTATTATAATGTGCTTAATCACTGTTTAAAGTGATTTTCCCTTTTATTCAAGATAGACTTTATGTAGTGAGAATATAGCAGCCTGAATGTAAATTATACTGGTTTTAACCAGTTTTGATAAAGACGGCTGAGAGTACACTCAGCCTTGGGTAAGACACAGGTTGTACTTTGAGTGTATATGTGTGTGTGTTCTATTCGATTGTGGATCCTTTTACAGGTCTGAGGTCAGCTTTAAACAGCCTAGTGGATATCGGTCACACTTTACAATTAGGTTTATTAGTTAATGTTTATTAATGCATTTACTAACATGAACAAACAATGAACAATACATTTACTACAGTATTTATTCATGCTAGTTAACGTTAGTTAATGAAAATACAGTTGTTCATTGTTAGTTCATGTTAACTCATGGTGCATTAACTAATGTTAACAAGCACGGACTTGGATGTTAATAATGCATTAGTAAATGTTTAATTATGATTAATAAATGCTGTACAAGTGTTGTTCATGATTAGTTCATGTTAGTAAATGCATTTACTACTGAACCTTATTGTAAAGTGTTACCTGGATATCTGACATTTGTATGCTTGAGATATTAAGATATCGTTCAGAGTTGTACGCACCCACCCACATGGACGTTTTTTCTAGTCTATCTGTGTTTTAACTAGTGGTGGGCCGTTATCGTTAACGCGAGACTCTTATCACGCAATAAAAGAAAAAATATCGCCGTTAATATATTCTCAAAGTTAGTTTGGGAGCTGGGTCTGTTCTACGTAAGCTATGATAACTTTCACCTTGATATTTTTGCGCGGATGTATACCTGACTGGTGAGCCGTTAGACAAAAAAGTGCCCTTCTGAATCAAATCAGCAGGATGCCCTTCTGGATCTTTCACTTACTTCGAAGACACTACTGACTACGCTTACATGGACATCAGTAATCTAGTTATTTGCCTTAATAGACAATAATATAATGAAGGTGTTTACGTGAAGTGCTTTCATGGAAGAGTTTCCTAAAATTTTGGGTGACTTTAACTGAAGTTCGGCAGTTTAACATTCACTCATGAACATTTTATTGATTCCCCCATGACAAACTGGGGTATTAGACGCAAATAAGGAGGAAGGACTGGGGAGAGTGTTATGGAATTTAATAACGCACGCCATATGGAAAGAAAAAAGCTTATCGCGATGTGTGTGTGTGTGTGTGTCTGTGTGTGCAGTCCTTTACTTATAGCCGCATGTGTGTGTGGATCTTGTCGGAAAATATGGCGAAAGTCCTACATGACGGTAATAGTTTGATTGCGGTGTTTACTTCAATAATGCCACTAATATCTGCATACTCCACATGTCTTAATTCCATTTCTGTTTAGTTCAGTTATGACTTTAGTCGGATTAAGTTAATCAAAAATGGCTGTTTGGAGCTTATGTAGGCCTACAGTTCAAAATTCATGTTTAGCTGAATAAACAATTAGTAAACACAAGTACATCTTAATGAACATAATTTATTTTCATCACCAATTATCATAGCAGATCAGTTTCTAAAGCAGTTTGTGATGCATTTTGGAATCAGGAGATGAGCCCCTGGTCTAATGCGACACCTGGCTTGAGAAACCCGCTCTCAAAGACTTACTTTTAGTCATTATTTGAGTAACACACATATTCTGAATGCCTTTGACCGAATTCAAATAAGCCATTTTAATCTAGATTAATTCCAAGATTACAGTGAGATTATTCTAGATTTACAAAATGAATCTATGCCCACTTATAGTTTTAACCAATCAGGTTAAAACACCTATATGTATGACACAGTTAATATCAATATGTGAGAGTGTAATTGATGCTGATTTATGATTGTAAGCAGAGCGGCCAAGCAGTGTTGCCAACATAACAACTTTGTCGCTAGATTTAGCGACTTTTCAGACCCCCCTAGCGACAAGTTTTCAGAAAAGCGACTAGCGACAAATCTAGCGACTTTTTTGTGTGTTACTGGAGATTTTTATAGACTGTCATTTGACCATACTGTACCGTCCCTACTCCTCTCAACGAGCTGCGGGTGATGCCACCGGCCCCTACCCCGCCTCAGACCACTGACAGTCGCACCAGTCCTCGTAAAGCAGCCTCTTCCACCTGCAGCATGACAGCAGATCGCCTCTCTGCGTACCGACGGCAAATGATTTAGCACCGGCAGTGTGAAGGTATTGTACAGTCAAACCGATCTGCTTCTCTTTTATTTTAACAATTTCACCGATATTCTTTTCTTTTTCAAAACTCGAGAGATCACTGCAAATCCACTACACATCTACAGTATAATGCTATACTGTATTCAAACAGCAATACATTTAGTTAAATTGACATGCTTAAATAAAGCGTAGTGCAAATATAAATACCCCTTTATTGACCATAGGCTGTCAAACAGATTTGGTAGAGCGTGATGACGTCAGTAATATGCAAATTGACGTATGACGTAATCTAGCGACTTTTCGGGCAGAGCTTAGCGCCTTTTCGTTGAAAATAGTTGGCAACATTGCGGCCTAGGAACTCATTGTGAGCGTTGAAGCTGGATGAAACTGCAAACTATCTTCAGGAAACTTTATTTATTTGAATCTCTGACTCTGGCTCTTCTTCATCTGACAGACTGCTCATTCTCTGGGTTCAAACTGGACATTATCCCTACAAGTTGATAATTGCTCTCATACAATGGTTACCTCACCTAAAGGCACTGTTCAGATGTTGTATTTCAAGACGTTTGTCAGGTTTGTGTCTTTAAACGGTGTGTGCGACTAGTTTATGCATCTCATCCAAAGCCTGTTTGCTGTTTTCTTTCTTTTGAATTGATTTTTGAATGTTGCTGGCTGTGAAATAACTGAAATGATTCAGCGTAGTGATATGGAACTGTAATGCAGTCAAAACCTGCCTGGAACTACTTCTGAAAATAACTGCACACATTAGAATGCGCATCAGCCGATCAGAATCATGCATTGAACGGCCTGTAGTGTAAGCTTTATTAAATGCGTATGCTGATACAATTTAAATATGGTGAATGATCTAAAGACTGTTGACGGGTGGCTGGCACGTGGCTCAGTGGTTAGCACTGTCGCCTTACAGCTGAAGGTGGCTGGTTCGAGTCCTGGGTGGGTCAGATGGCATTTCTGTGTGGAGTTTGCATGTTCTCCTCATGTTCACATGGGTTTTCTCCGGGTGTTTCAGTTTCCCCCACAGTCCAAAACACATGCGCTAAAGGTGAATTGAATAAACTAAATTGGCCGTAGTGTATAAGTGCGCATGTGAATGAGAGTGTTTCCCAGTACTGGGTTGCAGCTGGAAGGGAATCTCCTGCATAAAACATATGTCGGAATAGTTAGCTCTGGCGATACCTGATAAATAAGGGACTAGGCTAAAGGAAAATGAATGATTGTTTGTTGAAACGAGACTCCAGAATTCCCCATTTTGCTATGTGCAGTTAAGTGTTTGTTTGTGTATGATACAATGCAATCCTCAATGACAGGCGTTACGTCAAGTGACCTATGACCTGCACGCTCAATCACCTTTCTTGACTCAATAAACATTACATGTTTATAGTCAATACAGGGGTCGTACCATTGTAATGCTATCACCTATTAGCATGTTACATATATGAACTACAATATTTACTGTCCCTTTGTATTTAATCAGATACTTTAGAGTGAAAGGAAGAGATTTCAGAATTAAAACACAATTATAGAAACAACTTAATTAAAGTGTCATGCTAAAGTTATACAGTATGTTATGGTGCGCTTTCTCCTTACTGGTAATATTTGATATAATGTCCAAAGTGTATGAAGTACAGCTCAAGACATTACACCTGATGAACTGAGTCTGACATAAAGACAACAAAGCATTATGGGCTCGCAGACTAGTTTTAATTTTAACTTTAAATCCACCTTAAGCATCAAACTGGATTCAAGATCTAATGTTAAATCTACACTTGAAAAAATATAAATATTCAATCAGAGGTTCTATCAAATTCCTATACGTTTGGCAACCCTTATTGCCATATTTCTCTGCTATAAACATACTTCCTGAGGAAAAGGGTGACTTATCTTGTATGTAACTGTAATTTCCCGTTTTTTTTTTTTTCTTTCTCTGTCCAGACACTCGTGCTTAGTCTATGCTAGACTATCATTGCAAGATAGCACAGCACTATCCATAATTGTATCAGCCATTATTGTTGTCTATCTATTTATTTATGTAATATTTTATTTCTATACAATTGTGCATCATTTTTTCTCTTGTCTTTACTATTATTATTATTATTACTGTCAATATATTAGGCAGTATATTTAGGGTTTGTTAAATATATATATATATATATATATATATATATATATATATATATATATATATATATATATATATATATATATATATATATATATATATATATATATATATATATATATATATATATATATATATATATATATATATATATATATATATATATATATATATATATATATATATATATATATATATATATATATATATATATATATATATATATATATATATATATATATATATATATATATATATATATATATATATATATATATATATATATATATATATATATATATAGTTGAAGTCAGAATTATTAGCCCCCCTGTTAATTTTCTTCCCCAATTTTTGTTTAATGGGGAGAAGATTTTTTTAACACATTTCTAAACATAATAGTTTTAATAACCCATCTCTAATAACTGAATTATTTTAACTTTGCTTTAATGACAGTAAATAATATTTGACCAGATATTTTTAAGACACTTCTATACAGCTTAAAGTGACGTTTAAAGGCTTAACTAGGTTAATTAGGTTAATTAGGCAAGTTATTGTATAATGATGATTTCTTCTGTAGACTATCGAGAAAAATATAGCTTAATGGGGTTAATAATTTTGACCTTAAAATGGTGTTTAAAAAATGAAAGCTGTTTTATTTTAGCC